ATAGCTGCATACGTTTATCCTTTTGAGTTATAGCGAACAAACAACCCAGATCTGATATGCAACTGTAATTTAAGTACAAAATTATATTAAATATAGCATTTTTTACATAATGATCAAGAAGTGAGAGATGCTACTTGCCTTCCTTGAGTAAAAGTAAAACCAACAAATGGTAAATGAAGTGCAGAAAACGCAGAATTTGCTGCTGGTGGAACAGCATCAGAACTACGAACATCTGTATCATCAACATCAAAATTTGATGTATCAGTTGGCGAGGAAACTTCAGGAATGTAAGGTGCAGTACTATCTCTAAGAGTATCCCAATTTACTCCTTCAAACCATGGATGTTTCTGTGTTATATAATTAGGAATGAATTGTATGAAATTTAACTTTCTTGTTATGATTAGTATCATTTTTTTTAAACTAATATGATTACATATTAATACCTTGAAATCATCAATTCCATTTTGACCTAATCTAAATTCTGAACTACATATTAATTTTCTCATTAAATCCTTAGCTTCTTCTGAAACTTCATACATATCATCTGCTGGGAAGTCAAAGCAATTCTGAAATTGAATATAATACATATAGATGTGTATAATGATTAGATATGACATAGTAAAAGTACAATAATTAAAATTATTACAATACTATTGTTATACTATAACAAATAATTTAAATTATATAATAACCTTATGATTCATAATTTTTCCATAAGTTTCGACTAGAGATTCTGCATAAAAAGGTGTTTCTCCATATAACATTTCATACATGCATACTCCTAAAGACCACCAATCACATTCAGGTCCATATTGTCCTTGGCCATCTTCCATTGCCTACATGAATTTGAATGCATTCTTTTTAATATTCATAAATTAGTAAAATGATAATTAATATTACATAAATTATAAAAATAATATTCAGAATAATATAAAAATATAATTTTACCCTTAAAATTTCTGGTGAAATATAGTCTGGTGTACCAACAGCAACATTACTTTGTGCAGTACCATCTTCAAATAATCGTAAACAAGATCCAAAGTCTGCTAATCTAATATGTCCATTTGCGTCTAACAAAACATTATCAGGTTTAATATCACGGTGTACATAACGTAAGTCATGTATGGACCCAATAGCCAAAACCATTTCAGCTATGTAGAAACGTGCCATATCTTCAGGAAGGCGATCTTCAAATTTACTCAACAGTGTTAATAGATCTCCACCACAGTAATAATCCATGACCAAGTACTACAGATGATTTAGAAAGAATAAAATAATTTTATGTTTACAAATATTATTAATTTTTAGTAGCAAAACTTATAGACATTACCAAATTATTGTCATCTTGAAAGGCATAATGAAGATTTGTGATCCATCTACGGTCACCATATACCAGTACATCTCTCTCCTCTCTAAAGTATGCTGTTTCTGCACGCTTTAGCATTTCCCATTTGTTCAAAATTTTCATTGCAAATACTTTGTCTGAACCACGCATTCTTACAACACATACTTCTCCAAATGCACCTCTACCAATAACTTTTACTATTTCAAAATCCTCCCGTGCCAACTGCAAACTCTTAATGCATGTAGCCACTGGTTTTACTATAAAAGCATATATGAATTTTGTTTTAATATATAATTAACATTTTTCAAAGAATATATGTATTTTATACATATGTATATATATATATATATACGATGTACCAAATTCAATAAAATCTGAGACAGTCTTTTCACGCCTCAAGGAAGAATTGCAACATTCATCATATAAGACAAGTAAAATATCAATGAGTGTCTCAATAGAAAATGTATGGCCTATTCTTCCTTCTCCTTGTACAGGACCACCAATGAAAAGGGATTCTAATTGGCGTAACCTTCCTCCTATGCCTACAAAAATAATTTTTATTCAACTTTTTTTAACGATTTTTTATTTAATAATATATATTATTATAAGGTAGTTTATATTGGAAATATACCATTGATTGCAAGTCCTTTTGGCATAATATCAGGAGGAGGTTGATTATATTGGTGCTGCGATGAATCTGACATGTCTCTTTTTCGAAAAGGTTGCCCCTTACCAAAATCTTTGGACACTACTTCTGTCATTTTTAATAGTATTATTCAATAGTATCTCAAACCACCACATTATGATGTGATCACTATCCTAGAATATTTTTTTATATATAAAATTTAATATAAATCTATAATTATATCATATAGTTCATACTTTAATTCAAATTAATAAATAAAATATTTAAAATATCATCATATAAATATCCTGTTATAAAACATTTACTACTTATTAACTCAATCTTTCTTTGTTTCATATATTTAAACATTAAAAATATGATGATATTTTTGTTTAACATCCATTATATGGACATTAATAATTTAATTAATGTTTTTATTGTAAATATGAAACACTAATTCAAATATCTAATGAAATTGTCATAATTTTATACAATTACATTTAATTAAGGTATCATTAGTATAATAAAATTAAATTTTCATTAGAAATAAAACATAATTTTTTAAATTTTAGTTAGTATACTTTTTTATATTTATAAAAATACCAAAAGCACTACAAAATATAGAAATATAAATATTATATACAAGAAGCATAATTCCATACTAATCATTTACCTTAAGATAATTTCCAATAGACATATCTAAATAAGATCACTTTCACTGTTTAAACATTAATTTTGTTTACAACCGTGTAGCAATCGTTTTCCGATCATGTTATCACTATATTACCAGCACGCTTTGAGCTTCTTTTACCCTTATGTAAAGAATGTCAAAAATCAATTCCCTTTAACTTAGCGTGGTATATATGTCCACACGCCACTACGTGTAAAACAATCGAGTTTCATTTAATTCATCATCGGCCATGGTGCCGGAATTACTCACGTCGGAAATTACGTAACTGCTATAAAGATAGCCAAAATATTTGGCGAAGAAAACACGCAACAAGAGAAATACGTGTAAATAAAACGTACAGACAAAAATAGTGCAACGGGGTAGGGCACCGCATTCGCGATCAGCGAATTCAACAGAATCACCAAGACAACTATTATCGTAGAAGGAATCGGTATTGTATAGTGAAACTATACAGTACTTGTTTAATATAATAATTATAAAATGAAACGTAGATAAATCTTTAAGCCCATTGTCCCAATTTCTGGTATAACCTCGTCGCGGCACTACACTATTATCCCGATCAAATTTGTGACGTAAAATTCCTATTGCATGTGAGAAAGATGTTTTGAGTGAAAGGCTTTTTCTTTGCCGATCCGGTTCGTTTGCTCAAACGATTCAAGCATATCTGCCGAAACGACGCGTCTCGCTGTAATATTGGTTTAATTGTTTATTATGCGCACCATTCGTTTATCACAAAACATCTTGCATGGCCACCTCCAAACCCCCAACAATTTGGTTGACCCCCTAGCAGGTCCCATATAGAAAAAATATGGCAGTCCTACGTCATTGAAAATACCTATGACAGTTCAGAATATAGATAGGTTTTACCTCTTATACGAAAGGTGTAATAACAAAGTGAGTTCACAGGGGTAATTTTTTTATTGACTAAAATACATACTTTAATTCTTTACCTAAATACATTTATTAATAATTAAAATAAAAAATTCAAATATTTAATTTGATTAGTGTACAAAAATAATAACCTACGTGACAATTATAATAATTATTAAATAATTATTCAATAATTTCAATGTATAAATATCTTTAATATTAAGATACAAATAAAAATTTCGATACTATATAATACAACATTTATATTATTTATAATGACGACTTACAAAGATTTAATTTCAAGATCTTTTAAACACAAATCATCTAATTTCATTTTCGAATCTAAAGGTATTTCTTAACATCTCTTAATAATTTTTTCAATAGTTACATGTTTTCTTTGAATTCATAAAGAAGAAATCTTGTCTATTATATCAAAGACAATTATCAAATCTCATAGGTAATGAATTTAACCATATAATATATGATAGAATAAAGAATGTCGGACAATGCTACTATTACATTTCATTAAATTTTACTTAAAAATACATGTTTTCTTCTATTAGTATAACTATAAAATACAATATTTTATTTATAATTTTACGTTATAGAAATTATTAAAATAGAAATTATATGACAAGTAAGAATATGTATAAATTTTTGAGCGCTGCGGTCGATGCAGAGTTGCCGATCATCTCGTGTATTTATTATACGACTTTTTGATTTTGGCCACTTTTATTAAGAAAAATCTTAGAAAAGGCATTTAAAGAATATTTGATAAGGTTTAGTAGCAATTTGAAAGCTATTGTTCAAGTAATTATAATAATTCGTACTCAGTACATTGTGGAATGTGCGAGGAGGAGCTACTGTGTTACGCAGCTCTGCATGATGCCATCCGAAAAATACGCAATAAACACGAAGAATTCGTGTCTTATGCATTATCGAGTTAACATTTTACCACTCGACGTGAGATATGAATTGTTTAATTGGAGTACATTTACGGCTAAACAATATAAATCCGTATTTCTTATTTTTACTCGGTAGCACGTATACGTGGCAACAGAGCAAAGTTGTCGAGTACTCTGTCACTTCCTAGTCAAAAGAAATTCTTCGAGCACAAACAATAATATATTTACACTGTTAAAATAGTGAAATACGGTGTAACTCTAAAAGAGTACTGTCATATATTCTTTTGATATATTTAACTGTCTGTCAAGGTATTAATAGAGAATATTTCTGTGTGCATATTAACGTATCAGCAAGCGTCGGTTTATATATTACATGTGCAACCTGTGTAAAACTCTTCACGGTTAGCATCCTATGAATGTATCAGGAAACAAACATAATTTCAAACTTCTTACAAAGATGCTGTATATTAAGTAAATGATTAATCACGCCACGTAAAAAATATACATGCATATCCTCGTATGATTGAATGTGTAAACATACATACACACACACTTATTTACATACGCCTACAAAGTGTTGGAATTTACAAACATTTTATAAATCTAATGAAAATAGAAGTCAATTATTTCTGTAAGTCTTAATATTATTCTTTTCTTTAATTTTGGTATTATTATATTAACTCATTAAAAATTTTTTATTTTACAACATTTACATTAGTTATCATTTGATAATAAAAATTCTGTTCTATAATAAATTGTATCTTTAACATCCTTTTTTAATGTTTAAAAGAGTGAAATATAATTTATGATTAAACATTTTGTGTAGTAGAGAATATTTTATATCATAGAAAAATAATCATCAAAGAATTTAATTTATCGTCTCTTATTTTGTTAATACAGGTATATTGTATCTACTGATGTATTTATGGCTTTTGTACATACAATAAGCCGATGTTGGCTACATTTAATCTATTGTTTACATGGTATTTTGTTCTTTGGAATATTATATGTATTATGAAGATAACCTGATGAAAGAGCATTGTAAACTAAAAGAAGAAAGCAGCAAGATAAGTGCTGCTAATGGTGCTTTGGCACTGTTATTATTGTCCTCCTAACAACACAATGGAGGAGCCAGCAAAGAAAAAGCAACGTATTGAAAACAATGAAGTTGAAAAAGATACATTATCAGATATTGAGCAACTACAAAATAGTCTGTTGGCACAATGCTTATGTAATATACCAGAAAGCAGTTTGCGTAAACCATTCACTAGTGCAACAGTGGAAGCTGCAGATGGCACTTTTAGATCTTCATTATTATCAGAATGGGAACCTGATCAAACTTTAGAATTCATAAGTGCTCTACAGCTTCTATTTGATTTAGCCATTAAACAGAACATTAGAGGTGTTATGTGCAGAAGAGTAGTAGATGTTTGTGATGCGCTGGCGCGAAACGAGCATGGCATTATAGATCAAATAATTGACCTATCGTGTACAACAAATAAATTTATATCATTTGCTGCTAGCAGAGTTCTTGCATCATTTTTTATTATAACAAAGGAAAATATTGACTCAGCATGGTTAGAAAGATTAACCCAATCTTTAGTGAATACTCATTCTCCAAGTCAAATGTTGTTTACTTTGGATGTTGTAAAAAGAGTTGTGGAACACAAGGATTGCAGTATTCATCCCCTCGAGGACACAGATACTATAGTACCACCATCACATTGTAATACCATATCAGTTTCAGATGCAGAGAGTTTTGATAGTACACCAGTAAAGGCAATGTGTGTTAAAGCATTAGAATCTAAATGGACTAGATTAGTCTCAAAATTTGATGCTATTTTAAGTTCATATACACCTCAACATGAATCAGCTGTCATTACATTTCTTGATTTATGGGAGTCCATTATTTCTGTTAAAGCTAACTTATCTGTTATTGATACCAAACTTTTTTATTCTCAGTTAGATAACCTGGTTGTACTTTTAAATGCTAATGTTCCTGGTGTAATTTGGAGACATCTTCTTGGATTATTTAATGAAGTATTGTGTTATGGAAGCACCTTAGCATTACAAGATGTATTACCAGATGAGCCTTGTTCTCTTGCACATTTGATTGTAAGAGCTGTTAAAGATTGGAGATTATTAGATGCTCTACCGTATCGACATGGTTCTGGAAGATTTGGAGGAGGTTCTGGTGAAGGTGATCGTCCCCTTCTACAAAAAATAGTGCTTTTAGTTTTAAAAAGTGTTGCTGTGACAGTTAAAGAGACACGTAGCGATTCTAGTGACTCTTCTTTGGGTTCTGAAGCAGAAGATCTTGATGCTGATATGGCAGTTATTGAAAGAAGCATTAGAGAAGTTTTACGACAACTTGATCAATGTGTTAAAACACTAATGCCATTTCATCCTGAAATGCCTTTATCACAATGGGTTGTACAAATGTTTCATGATCAAGATGATTTTTTGATTGAAGGCATGGTGTGTTGTTTAGATGTAGCTGTTGGTTTATTTTATAGAGGACCTCCACAAAATGATCTAGGTCATATGCTTAGTCCGACTTTAACTTTCATACAATTTATACATGCTGTATCTCATGACCCAGATGTTTTATTAGATTTACTTGTCAGTAATGAGACCTGTTTCTTATTATACTTATTGAGATTTCTGAAATATGTTAAAAGAAATTGGACAGAATTTGTCTCTTGTTGTGGCAGAGAGCTAGATGATACCATGACAATATTGATAAGACTTCGTTTAGCAATTGATAGATTAGTATCAAAAGCTTTGTTTCCTTATAACATAAATCCAGTTCTACGTTTGTTAGAAAAATGTGAGTCCTTCTATGAAGGAAATATAGAGAATTAATTATTTGATTATATGTTGAGATTCAAAATTTTGATTTGCCAGACTAATGTACAAACTACAAGGATAAAAGCTTTGTCATCTGGCTTATTTCATCAGTCAAAAAGTAATTCAAAATTGTATAATCTTGTCAACTTCATTTTGATAAACGACTGAATTATGCTACTGTCTTTTGTAGTACTCATTGTTTAGAATAATATTAGAGGATTCAGAAAAAGAACATTCCTATTTATTATATTTAGCAAAATTTTATTCATTCAAAACTATTGTTGAAGTTTTATGCAAGAATTATGTTTTGCATTTCATGGTTGAAGTATAAATGGATTGAAGTAGTACAAAGATTAGCTAAAATTATATGCTTCAAAATGAAATTGCACTTTTGTGGTGCTATGAAAATATATTTGCCAAAGCACCATTGGAAATAAATTTAAATGTATACTATTAGAGTAATATTTATATGTATACATAAAAGTTAAATGTACAATTTGCCAGTCAAATAGAATTATGTAAGTTGGATTTTGATGTGCTCTATTAGATATATATAAACATATACTTTTGTATATTACAATATTAAATTTATGAAAAACTTTACAAAGCGTTTTACGAAAAGTACTAAAAAAATATATGGTATGAAAGTCTTTGGTTTCAAAAGTGCAAGGTATAAAGACAAAAGTTATCACATCAATATATTAAATTATAAAATTGGCTTTGGGATTTTATACCATTAATAAAATGTTTAATTGTATTTGTTAAATCAAAATTTATAAATAAATTCATTTGTTTATTTAATAACTGAAAATTATAATACGATTTTATGACCTCTATTATGTCCATGTACTTAAATACAGGTGTAAAATTCAATAATGTTTATTAAAATGAAACATTGTCATATTGTCATGATTTATTAATAATGTATAGATAATAATATTGTAAAATATTGCAAGAATATAAATGTAAAGTTACTGGCAATGTAAATGAAAGTTATTGACATTTAAAATTATGCCAGTATTAATAAATTATTAGATACAAATGGCAATTACTTGGCTCATGGCAAATTGCTCCTAAGTTGAAGTTAAGAACAATATTTGCCATGAATATTGTCAACAAATTAAAGTATTTGTATATATTAATTCTAATGTTAACTATGCATACTTTAAAATTAACTTTGTAAGTATGGTACATGTAATACACTAAAAATCTACATATTTTTACTTTTATAATCATGGTGTAATTTTATTTATCATTTCCCTTTACAGATATTTTAACAACGTTCGTAACTTATACATGTACGATGCAAAATGGGAAAGAAAATAAATTATAAATATATATTGAAATGTTAAAAATGATCAAAATAAAAACTAAGTATAATTATAAAATTACAGACGCGATATATAGGATACTGTATATGTTTATGCATTAGCTTAATTTATGTCTCCAAATTGGGATGTGTAAACAACAAAAGCTGCAGAAGTATTGTAAAATCTAAAATGAACTGTAAATAGTAATGTCTGAAACTCAATTTATATTTTCCAAAATCGGGTACGATTTTTGGGGACAAATGAAATTGATTATGAACTTAAAGGTCATATACAGTCTAAAATAAATTTTAGTTGCGGTTATTACTGTTCATTACGTAAAAACTGTTTTTTAATTTCAATTTTCAAATTCTTAAAATTCAATAGGAATGGACTGCAAATATTGATGTAGGGTACATTGGTCCTTAATCCTACTTTCATATTAAAAATATTTGTGTTTAAAAACGTAGAAAATAAATTTAGAGAATAAATAAAAATTTTTGTATCTTAGAAAAACAAAGTTTAGTTCGATATACTAGCTTATATAACTATTTTTATATCAATTTTTATGATATTTAATTATTTAAAAGTATTAAATTTATTTAAAAATGAGAATTTAAAGAAAATCGGAATTTTAATGAATTTAATAGAATTTTTAAGCATTAAAGAAAAGATTATATATATATATAAACAAACGAAACAAACAAAAATGGAAGTAGAGGAAAAACGAATTTACACAATATACTCTTATGTATAGGAAAGATATTAATTTTGAAAAAATGTATAGATTTTCTAATATATGAAAAATGTTTGCCAAAGCTTTTTGAAAAGTTCCTTAAAAAATTTTATTTCATATTTCGAAGTTATTTAATTTTACATTGTATTATTAGAGCATTCCTTTGCTTCAAAATAAAATTATACAAAATTATTTAATTTTTGGATACAAGGTGTGACTGGGTATTTAAAAATTTGTTTTAAAATTATCTATATTTTAATAAAGATATAAAACTTATATTTTTGTAATATTATTAAAAATAATATAATTTTTGAACTAATACAACATATTCCATTTTGCGGTAATAGAACATATACTAATATATTATTGATGTGACGTACTGACTTTACTTAAGATTGTTCATGGTATGTGAATGAATATTTAAATAGTTCAAAAAACTAATTTTTCATGTGAAATATCTTATCTTTTTAGCACGAACTTTTTTATTTGTTCAGCGATAATATTTCAGTTTTTTGCAAATAGTTTTTAGTACGACATCTACTGTTTCTTACGAAGTATTACATACTGCTGCTACATTAAAAAATCTTGTGGTATATTGACAGCGTATACGGCAAAGCAAGGTATTGTATGTCATTTATTAATATTTTTATTGTAAGTACATATTATTTTTATTTTATTAGGACATTTTATGTTTTGGTAACAATTATTTGTTACTTTTGATTAAAGGTTTCGTCAAAATGGAACACAAATTACTGGAAAGGATAAAAAGACTTGGGTATGTAACTGGAGGTTATAATGTTGAACAATATTAATATTTAATATTTAGCCTTATATAATATTTAAAAGAATTTCATAAGTCACCTCCATTTATTGTACATGTAATTTTTATAACAATATGTTTAATACCAAATTTAATAATCTTATTATTTTATAAAATTTCTTGTGTAGATATAATGGACAGTTGGCGGAGTCTAGAAAATTTAAAGAAGCTTTAAAACAAGGTTCAAAATCGCCCGAATTTACAAAGCTTGTAGCTTGGTTAGCAGATGAGCTTGCAATACTCAATAATATGGATGAAAGTATTCATGAAATATCATCATCAGATGATTCTAGTTCCTTCTTATTAGAGTTAAGCTGTTTCCTTAAGGAATTAGGATGTATGAATGAGAGATTAATGACTGGTAATGTTAATTCAAGATTGGCAACTGAACAAGATAGATATATCTTATTAGATTTTTTGGGAGTAGAATTACAAACTAGCAGATTATTAGAATTTAAAAAGCAAAAGAATTCAACTTCCATGGTTGTTGTAAGTTTTTAATCTCAAGGTATGCTCAAAATGTTTAAACAATATTATAGTTTTATTAAAATAAATGTATATATACTTTTTATAGCTAGAGAGTAGCACAGCTAAAAACCTTAAAGATCTGTTAATAGCTTTAAATTTTGAGAAGCCACCATATGATATTACTTGTGAAAAGCTTTTTACAAGACTAGAAAATAAATTGACTGAAGTATTAAAAACAGCTCCCCCTGAGCTTGTAGGACAACCATTAATTACTCATGAATTCTCAGAAGGAGATTGGAAAGATCTTCAACGTATACAACAAGAGTTACATGATGAGTATAGAATGCGCCGTGATATGTTGCTTAAAAGACTTGATGTAACAGTACAATCTTTCCTAGTAAGTACATATGAATTATTTTAAAATGAAATTATATGTGTCATTTATATTTTTATAAAATCTAAAAACTCATAATTTATATTTCTAAAAATAGTGGTCGGATAGAATGAAAGCTAAAGAGACTGAATTAAATAGGCGATATGAAGAAATTAGAAAATTTCTAAGTGCTGAACCAGATATTACATTTGCTGATTTATTAGCAACAAGAGATGATATTGCATTAATGGAAAAAACAAGCAATGCAAGTGTTAGGAAAAATACTCGAAGTGAAATTAATAGTGTTATTATAGGTGAAGTGCCAGACAGGGGTGGAAGACCATATGAACAAGAACCACCACCACCTGAGATGCCGCCCTGGCAAAAAGATAGGGTACCAGGACCTTCAACGTCTGGGTTAGTCAAAGTTAGGAAAAGTAATTTTAAGTATGATAAATTCAAGTAAATACACATAGTTTTATATTTTAGAGGAGGTCGAGGGGGTGGTAGAGGTGGTGGCCGTGGAGGTGGAGGGGGTTTTCAGAGTTCTAATGTAACTTACACCAATGATAATAGAAGTTCATATAGCGGTAATATTGGATATGGAGACAGTGGATTCCAAGGTTCCAACTTTTCCCCTAACAGTGGTGGATATGGTGGACAAGGACATGGAGGAAAACAAGGAGGGGGGTATGGAAGTGGATATGCAGGACAAGGAGGTAGTGGATATAGAGGACAAGGAGGTGAATATGGAGGAGGACAAGGAGGTGGATATGGAGGACAAGGAGGTGGATATGGAGGACAAGGAGGTGGATATGGAGGACAAGGAGGTGGATATGGAGGACAAGGAGGTGGGTATGGAGGAGGGCGAGGAGGTGGATATGGTAGTGGGCAAGGAGGTGGATATGGAGGTGGACAAGGAGGTGGATACAGTGGAGGACAAGGAGGTGGATACAGTGGAGGACAAGGAGGTGGATATAGAGGAGGACAAGGAGGTGGATATGGTGGAGGGCAAGGAGGTGGATATGGAGGAGGGCAAGGAAGTGTATATGGAGGAAGGCAAGGAAGCAGTTACGGAGAAAGTCATAGAGGGAGTTATGGAGGAGGATATGGAAATGGTGGAAATAACTCTTATAGTGGAAACAACAGAGATGGAGGTAATAAATTTTAAGAAATGGATGAAAATAGAAAATTTCAAAATTGTTTATTGTTTATCTCAATTTTATAAACGATTTTAATCAAATTATTGATTTACGATTAGTACTCAGAATATGATCATTGGAACTGTTATCCAGGCAATTCAGGTCCTATATTACAGTCCGAATATAAAGGTGGACAACAGTATCAAAGAGGAGGTTCTGGTAATAGAGGAAGAGGAGGTAGAGTTCAGGGAGGATGGAATCAAGGTGGAAGCAATTCCGGATTAGATAACTATCAACGTGGTGGCTATAATCGTGGCGGAGGACGAAGAGGACGACAATACTAAAATATTTTATGTAAAATATTATTCTTATGATTGTAATATTAATAGTAAAAAATATTTACATCACAGAGCATAATAATTAATATCAATGGATTTCTATTTAACAAACAAATGCTTAATAATTTATATACCTCATATTATGTTTTCATATATTACATGTATTATAAAATAATTGAAAACATTAATCATAAACTAAAAATGAATTAGAAACATTGATATTATTTTTAAAATATAAATTATATATTCTTATAGGAGTTATAATAATTATTATATTCTATTCTGTAATGCCTATGTTTTAAATATTATTTTTGGCTATGTTCTTGCATTTTAAACGTTAATTTTATCTATGTACTCATGTATGAATCTCTTAGAATGGAAAAATAATGATTATGTTGAAATTAACTGTGTATAATGAAATATGTAAGGAGACAAAATTGATTAATGAAATTATTTAATTGTTTAAAATATTTACTAAACATATATTATAATTGCATATCAATAATTTTTATTTGAATATATATAAAACTATATAAAAACATAAAATGATTTACTTCTTTGATTTCGTTGAATTTATTAGTTGATTATTATGAAAATGAAAAGTAGAATTTATTTTATATAGTAAAAATTTACAAAAATTTTAATTGTATCTAGAGATTTCTGTTAAATATAACTAGAACAGTACCTTCTACATTCCTGTTGGTTTGTGCTTCAGTGTTTTATTAGCCGTCTATAAATTACACAGGTTTAGATATATGGGAAAACAAAATGCCGATATGCGTTTTTTGGTTGAATCATTGTATTTATTTTACATTATTTATTTGGAAATATCAAAAATTTTGTTATATAGGAATATTAAATTTAATATTGGTGTGATTTAATATAAAGTTTAAATATCTCGCGCAACCTACGTCATAGTTTATAACTGCAATCTATGTATGTGTCATATGACTTATAAAGTTCAGTGTTTTGTCTGTCAAGTGTTATTTTTTCTGACTACTGTTATCGACCAGTATAAAAGATTGATATGTATTATCAAGCAATGACACAATTACGAAATACTTGATCGACTGATTCACCTTAGGTACTTATATCTGTACATACATATAGTAATTTGTTATTAATGTTGTCTTTTAATATAACTAATTTAAATTATACTTTGTTTAAAAATACATATCATTTTTACATATATTAATAAATGATTAAAATGTTCAATGTTTTTATAATGAATTTGAGAAATGTCAAGTGTTTTAACAAGTTTACTTACATATGGTTAACTTTTATTTCAATTTATGTGTAAGGTTCACAAAGGAAATTGCACATATAAATTATATTATTCATAAAAAAGAAAAATGTCAGGAGGAGAACGAAAAAAACGTGCTTGTGACAGAGGACAAGGTTGGGAAGAAGCAGGTGCTGAATTTTATCAGGAAAGTTATCCTGCTGCAATTGAAGCAGATTTGCAGCAAGCATTACAGAGAGATCCTTCTCATATAGCTACTTTACTTCCGAGTAAAAAGTCTCGTGTTGGTAAGTCTATGGATAATAGAATTTGTATAAAAAACGAATAATACATACTTCTTATATTAATAATAGCTACTTCTAAACGAATACGTAATGATACAAAAACAACACTGAGAAGACGTACTAGTACAAGATCTCGTGGCACAACTACATCAAGACGTATGTCAACAAATATTCATGATGCAGCAGTATCTATGTTACCAGATTTATCTGAAAATTTATCTAATGAAGAACGTACATGGGAAGAAATAATGCAAATTAAGGCTATGCCTGTGTGTATGGCACAAAAAATGCAATTAAAAAATCAATTACAAGTAAGTTAATGATAATACTAATAAACAAGAATAAAACTGGGATGTGTTTAATTAAATTTATTTATTTTAGAGTGCTACAAAATTAAGATTGCAAGGTTTTGAGCAATTAAAATGGCAACGAAGAAAAGCTTGGCAACAATTTCGTATCAGGATGAAGGAAGCATATTCAAAAATGGAGTTATGGAATGACAGTCTTAAAACAATTGGTGGAAACTTTGGAATGGGGATAGTAGCATACTTTTTATTCATCAAATGGTTAATGTATCTTAATGTTCTTTTATTCACAATTATGTTTTTATTTATTATGTTACCTACAATATTATTGGATATGCCAGAAGAAGAACCATGCATAAATTCAAATAATAGTCACAGCATATCTTGCTGTTCAGAGTTATATTGGAATATAACTCAAGAAAGTAGTAGTATAACAAATATTGTGCAAGGCACTGGTATCCTAGAATACACTTTATTATTTTACGGTTCATATAGTTATATGACTTATGATACTTCTGGTATATTTTATAATTTACCATTATCCTATATTTGTGCCACTATTGGAGTGTTTATTTTTAGTCTAATAGCAATTGTTAAATCAGCTGCTAAAAGTTTCAAACAAAGAGTAGTCGAAAATGAAGGTCAATTTTATCAATACTGTAACTTAGTTTTTGGTGGTTGGGATTATTGTATACATAATGAAAAATCTGCAGCTGTAAAGCATAAAGCATTACACAATGAAATGAAAGCATTTCTAGAAGCTGAGAGACTAGAAGAAGAAAGACAAAATCGGACAAGAGAAGAAATAACAAAATTATTTCTTATGCGTTTGTTTATTAATTTAATAGTTTTAACAGTGTTATGTGGCTGTGGTATGTTTATTTATTATATATTTGAATTTTCTTTTGATCTAATTTCACCACAAAGCAGTGAAATATACAATTTACAATATTTATCATTAAATAGAATTGCACACTTATTTTTTGAGTTTCTTCCATATATATGTATTGTTGTCTTAAATCTTGTAGTACCATTTCTATTTCGATATCTAGTCTCTCTAGAAAATTATAGTCCTTCATTTGTTATACGCATAACTCTATTGCGAACTGTATTTTTACGACTTTCTTCTCTAATTGTTTTGCTCACATCTTTTTATAGACTAATTGTAACTGAGGTAATGGATAATGAATGTACTAATAATGCTAGTAGACGACCATTATGTTGGGAAACATTTATAGGACAACAATTCTTTAAACTCTACATCACTGACCTTTTTCTCCAGTTCTTCATAACATTTTTTGTCAATTTTCCTAGATCGTTAATAGCAAAACATACGGAAAACAAGGTATTACGTTTTTTCGGAGAACAAGAATTTGATTTACCTAAACATGTATTGGATGTTGTTTATTTGCAAACCATCTGTTGGCTTGGTTTTTTTTTTGCACCTTTATTACCATTAGTTGCTATAATTGGTACTTTTCTATTGTTTTATATTAAAAAATTTGCTTGTTTAGTAAATAGTACTCCATCAAGTAAAGTTTACAGAGCAAGTAAATCAAATGCTTTTTTTATGTTGATACTATTAATCTCTTTTGTTCTATCTACAGTTCCAGTTGGTTATTCTATTGCTGAAATAGAACCATCAAAATCTTGTGGCCCATTTAGAGGTTTTAAATCTGTATGGTCACTATTAATTGTAATGTTTGCAGAATTCCCTGTTTGGCTGCAATCTATTTTATATTTTCTTGGAACTGCTGGATTTGGTGTGCCAGCTTTTGTTGTTCTTACTCTATTATTATATTATTATTATGCTGTATCGATAGCAAACAAACACATGGTTACAGTGTTAAAGAATCAATTAGTATTAGAAGGTCATGATAAACAATTCCTACTTAATAGATTGAGTGCATTTATTAAACAACAACAAGATCAGAACAAATATCATCAAGAACAAGGAAATGAGTTGGGTACATTCTCATAATCAGTATTATGAATATTAAAATAATTTTTATATAATAATTTTTAAAATGCATAAATTCAGTAAATGTTTAATACAGACACATATAAACTGTATAAAACTTATTTAAATTTGTCTGATTTATATTTACTTTTTATAAGATAATATGACTTTAATTTACATATTTAAATATGTAGTTAGTGGTAATTTCCTAACTTTTCCTAAATTTATATATATATATTTAGTTATTTATCTATTCAGTTATTAAACAATTCTAAATAAATTAAGAAAACAATACTTAAAAATCAGGGTACAAAGTAAAAACTGTGCAATAGTAGAAAAAGTCACAAATTATTTACTATGTATTTATAGTTTTAGTAACAGTAGAAGGATTAAGATACATATATTATGGTAGTATTTGGTGTAAGAACATTGTGTTTTTCTTAAATAGTTTTTCATAATGTAGTAAATAAACCAATGTGATTGATGTTTTTGTAGTAACATGAAATATCATAATCTTTTTAATTTATAAATATATAGTAGGGTGCTTTTGCAAAAATGAAGTGAAGTGATATATGATGGACCTATTTTTAGATTAGCTGGGTATTAGAAATATGATGCAGTTGTAAATAGGTTGTGTAGGCTGATCAGGAGGTCCTTAATAATAAGAACACATTTCATAGTAGAGTATTTATTACTTAAATACCAAAGTACTCATTAGTTAAAAAAATGTTAATTTATATAAAATGTTTATTTTTATAAATTTCATTTTTTACAACTATATTTTTTGTTTATTATTTTATGATTCTAAGAGTAACTTTACAATATACATTTTTTACATAAGTACATTTAAAACTTATTCTAATAGAAATGTTTATATTGAACTTTCTAAGTTTCAAATATCAATTACTCTGTACTTTAACAAGGAAAAGTTTGTTCATCTTTATCACTGCCATTGTACATGAAACTAGAGTTACTTAAACATTTTTATATATATATATATGCATGTATAAAAATCTTTAATAGGATATATGCATGTGTTTTTTGAGAATATTCATTCCAAAACTGCCAATATATGTTAAATAGTTTTCAAAAAGCATTTTATATAAATTTTATACAAAATACTATAAACAAACAGCTGACTGTCACACAGAATGTGACTTTAACTGGAAATTATATCATATTAACTATTGATTTATAAGTAATGGTCTGTTTCTCCGATGTCATTATAAACAGTATTAAAAATATTACAATATATTATACTTAGTAGTATCATATGTATGTAATAAGAAAAAAATCTTCTGTGTTAACAAAACAGTAGAAAATGCTTTCATCTTCATTGCAACTTTTATATATTTATAAAAATAAGAAACTGAATTACAAATATACTATTTATCTTATAAAAGACTGCACATTTTTGAAACAGCTTTCCTAATTAAACCAGAAATTATTTGCAATATTTATCTATATCATAAGGGATTATAAGATGTCTGTTGTATATGACAAAATATATGCTCATGATATAAAATATGGTTAATAAACTATAACATATATAAAATATACAAAATATTTATTTTTATCTTTATATTAAAATAGAGTAATCTTTATAATTCATTAAATTTGAAATAGTATTTTGAATTATGTTAAGATCCGATTTTTAATTATAATTCTGTAGAATGTAGCTAAGGAAAAAATATATCATAATTAAATATTAATTATATTCTACAAAATATACAATATTTTTATTTCTCACTTAACAACTTACTGCTTCAGCAATATCGATCCAATCCATGGCAGCTGCTAAGGCATCATTTTTTGATGGTAATTTATCATAATTCCAGTAAGTAAAATGAGAAAATGTTCCCATAGAGTATAAATTACGTTCTATGTTTTCTACTTCTGTCTTTTTGCGCTCAATAAATGTAATACCTTTATATCCAGAAGGAAATGTAATTTTTTTCCCTTGAAGCGGATATCCTCGGAATTAAAAATTATAATCTATATAAAAAGAAAGTAATTTTAAATTTAATTTCAAATATTTCATTTAAATATATTTATAGTAATATTATTAATAGCAAAAAGTGACATATAAACATGTATGTTTATCGATAACGAATTCAAATTTAATAAACTTACGTTCATCATCCATTTTACGAATGTAAGGTGTAAAATATGAAGAAATATTTGCAGATTCATCACAATAAATTTTGCATGGCATTAAGTGCAGTACATTTTGTTTTTCCTCGGATAAATCATGGTTCATGTGCAAATGAATAGCCATATTTAAACGGAAGTACCGCATTGTATTTAGGCGGGAACAAGTTCAATCTTCATAAATATTTTTCTTACTAATTGTGACATAAATGTAATTTAATGTTTCTTAAAATATAATATTTATGTATTTATTACCTTTATAATTGATAGTATTAGATAATTATAAGCAAATAATTAACTTTTATGGAATTTTTGTAATAATTTAAATATTTATTTATCAAGGTGTACATGAAATAAAGGTAATTAAAATTTTTGGTATTTATTTTATTATATTATATTAACAAAACATTAAGATAAGGTATATATGTTTCTAATTATTTGCAGACATATGTTCAAGTATGAATAGTGGGGATGGTCCCCACCTTTGCCGAAACGAAGAGAAGTGGGAGGAAAATTTACCACCGTCGTGCGACGCGCATACGTAGCGTCAGTCGCAGTCGATTGTTCGATTCGATTCGATCTTGCGTCTTTTGATTTACACTTCGGGAAAACTTCGCACAAGTGAAACGTTTTTCGCAAGTAAAAATAGTGTGTACGCGCAGCTTGGTATAGAATATATTACGTGAATAGTAATATCGTGTGATTCGCTTTTCAGACAACGTGATCTTTTCTTTAATCAAAGATGAGCACGCCGGTGAAGAAAGTGCCCATTCACCTGCAGGTCAGTTGCTGATTTATTCTTTTATTTCAATATTTTTGTCGATTCTTACGAAAGCTCCTTTACATTTAAATATCATTACGTAAATAAATTGCATAAAAATCTATTCGTAAGTGTAGGTGGAACAAACACCGGCTTATCTAATGTTATGTATTAAATCGTATTTTCATCACGTGTGATGCTGTAAAATTGAAGGGATTCTAAAATGTACGTTTTTCTAAAGCTAATAATTCCTTTTCACTGAAATTATACGTATTCGACGTGTCGTTTTAATTAGATAAAATAACTTTTTTGCTTAAATTGATTTAGAGTATATGACAGATGCTGCATGTTCCATAATGAGTGAATTCGCCAAGAATAAAAATAGCATGTTATGCGAAAACATGAAAATATTTGACATAACACTTCACCCGTATAAGAAAAAAAAAAGATTTTTTACTCGTGACATCGATAGTGGAATCAATAGTTGATAAGTAATCGGGTGATAATTAATATCATGAAAGAGTAAATAAAATTCTATATAATAATAATGCAATCGTCGGTGATAAACGTCCAAGCAGACGTCTGTAGACCGTGTGCAAATGTAAATCGATGCAAGTATCTCCGAAACACGATTAATGCGACAATAAAACCAACACATCCCTATATTCGATATCGTCTGTCGTGACTCCGCGACTAGAATAGCCCTTACCTAAAACGTCATATTGATCTGTTTTCATCTATAACGGTTAATTTCATATTTATTTACCCCGGTATATGATTCCTTTCATTCTTTCAGTTTCCTTCTAACAAAATACCATTTATTTTATCCAAATATTGTAAAAAGGGAAGAAAGGAGAAAATGTACTCTAGTTACCTCACGATACTAAATGTTCATAATTTTCATTTGAACATACTATGTATGAGGTTACCGAACTCACGATCGATAGTGAAGGCGGGTTTAATAAACCACTTACATTTAAATATAAGAGGACGAGGAAAAAAGATACTAGTAGTGAACTGAATTAACTACAGTCGTTTATGCAATTAAAACGACGACACCGTCTCGAGGAACTCTCATCGTTTATTTTAATTATTCCTTTTTACTACTTTTTTACTTTTTTATTACCCCATTTTGTTTTCTTCCTTTCCATGCAGGTTAGAAGGGTCGTTAATTGATCGTTGCGTCGAACGTATAAGTGTTCGGAAAGAAAACGAAGCGTATAAAAAAGAAAAACGTAAATGTGGGTGTTCCTGCGATGGTATTTAAAACTGAAAGTTTCGTCGCACCATTGTGGCAATCGCAAGGTTGCTGCCTTATTGATCCGAGCGTCTTGGCGCCCGGCACCGGTCTATCTCGCCAAAGGAGCCAAGTCGCGTGTCCACGCGAAGATGAATGTACATTTACGTTAGATTTATGCACAATGCGACGCGTCCATTCGACCGGAACATAGCGAAACTAGATCTATACTCTGATGCGCTATACCGCTTCCTATTGGCGAATTATGGTACTAATTCATAAATCGTGTTCCAGCAAATGAAATATGAAATGTAATTATTTTAGGGTGTCTACATTTCGCTTTCCGCTCGTGTAGAGTTCACCTACTAGAAATTGGTATTTTTTGACACGAATACGTAGAATAGGATAATTGAAGAGTATTTAAATATAAATATATATTCGTTGTTGGGTCGAATTAAGCACATTTTATTAATCTATTTTTCGCCAATTATAGAAGTAAAGTAAGAAACGAGAAATTTCTTATTGCGAATATTGTTTATTTGGTTATTATTGTAAAATTTATATAGCCGTGCTCGAAGAAAAGGAATTTAGTGTTGGCATATATGAATTGGTTTGGCATACACAAAATTATTTATTATTAAACCTTTATACTACAATGATGAGTTTATTTCGTCACGAGTTTTTCGTGTCACTATAACCTAATTCTGAAAAATTATCTAGTGAGAAAGTATTTAATTTTAGTTAATCACTATATCTCAAAATTATAGAATTTCTGCGAATTTTGTGCATGTTAAAACGCATTAAATATAATTTCGGTCGTATGACAAGTATGGCGTATAATTCTAATATTCGACAAGAATTCATGGCGATGTTAGACTCGTCATCGTAGTGCGAAAGGTTAACATGCACAAAATTGGAAAATTTTTATCTAATTTTACCACGGATAGAATAAACGTATAGTAGTTAACTAAAATTAAATACCTTTTCAGTGTGTAAATTTTCATAATAAAGTCGCAATACAATGGGTTGAATTTGAAAAAAGATCCATCGAATTAAGTTACGCCGGATTATTTCTGCTCGAAGAGGTAGACTCAAATATCTTTTGCATCTTATATCTCGCAAAATGTATACTATAATATTAATTTCAAAGGTAGTGTAATTTTTTGCAGAAAATGCTCCGGTGATTGTAGAAAAAGTAACTAGCGATACTGCACCCTAGGGAAGAAAGACATAGGCGTATCGTCCAGTCTCTAGCCTGAAGATAAAAATCGCTTTTCAAGATGTACCCTACATACACTCTCAGCATGGGAACGAGAAAGTGTATCTTAGCACACAGTGATGTGGAATATCTTAGATCCGATAGAAGTACACGTTTCCTACGATACGCATTTCTTTCCAACAATTTCCCCGATTACACGAAACAACGCGTTGCATAACGCGTGAGAATTCCTCAACTGCGAACGATCTGGCTATCCAAGCAGATGATCCTCTAATTATACCAAGCTCACCGTGTTAGAGATCCCTGTAAAAGTTTACCCGAACTATTTCGAGCGGCATGCAGATCAGCAGGCTGCGGAACTCCGTAAAGTCGATAACGGGAAAAGTCTTAATACGGGTGGTGGCCCGCGACGGTAATTCGTACACATTGGGGAAAATCGTATACGGCACTGGTACGTGTGCCGTAGAGGCTATACGGACACGATGAACGCGGTCTGCGCCGGCGAATCAATAGTTCGTCGACACTACGTCCGACCTGAAGTCGGAAAAACCACCGGGGCTCGATTTTACGAGCGTGCACACGCTCTTGGCGGCCAGACGAAAAGAGTCTGTAGGAGGGAATCACGGGATCCTCTGTTTCACGTCGGCTGTCTTTGCGAGTTGTTCACGGGGCAGGGGTGATTTCCGCGAGCAAAAATAAACCGTGGGTGTTGACTGATTTTAGATAGAAGGTATAGAAGACTAACCGAAACGAACTGGTTTGGGTTCTAGCGAGAAAATATTCTGCGAAGCCCCGCTTTTGCGGAATAGGGCGCGGTCGTCGAGAGCTTGACGGGGTAGTAGGTGGTTGGTAGTTACGAATCACGAATTTAGTCTGGCTTTTCATTTGATCGTAGAATATAGAAGATATTGCAAGCCTTGGTCTGCATTTTAGCAACAGAATACCGAGAAAGTCCAGATTCTGTATGCTGAATTGGAAGTGGCGTTGAGAGCTTAATGAAGCAGTTAGCTGGTAGACAAATTTGAACTGACTTTATACTCAAGCAAAGAACATATAAGATTTAAAATAACTCTTTTGTTACAGAGAGGGAAAACGATAAAAAAAAGTTCATATGCCATGTACAAATTTGGACTAGCATTAACGAAGGACTCCATACTCTTTTGAACAATACAGGAAACTAAAAAAGAAAAGAAAGAAAGAAAAAGAAAATAGAAGAAGCAGTCGGTTACTTACTTCAAATAAAAACAGAATAAATTCAAGTCTCGTGTACGGAATTGGAATAACGTTAATTAAGGACTCCGTCGAGTGGCTTGGTCCTCGGAGCCCCTAAAATTTCGGCCTCTACTGCCACCGATGACAAGTGGTTCCACACGTGTGTGCTCATTGTCGTCTGTTTGCCTCACCGAGAACTTGACGATGAATTTAGTCGAATGGAAGTCGGTCAGCCGAAATGCAGATTACCGGCATTATTCTTGCGACATAAATAGACACTGGGAAGCCAGGTGCAAGCCACAGCAGACGTTTCCGTAACAGTTTATCGCGAAAGGAAATTGGAGCAGCTTGTCGTGTCGGTATTCACCCTTTTCCACGTCCCCTTTTTTTTTCATTCGATTATACAAGTGCAAGGACGACTCGTATAGGGATTGCACTTGAGCATATTCCGTGTGTCAACGCGAGGTGTGATTCTCTAGTCGCGTGTCGAAAGTTCGAAGGGTAGTTGCCGTCCACGGTCTTTCAGTTAGGCAAGTATGCGCAAACAGAGTCAAACCTGCCGGTTGGTTCGATATTTAATATTTTACGACTCGCAGTAAAAAATTCTTTGACCGCTATCTTTGATTCCCGGCATCAGGATGGTTCCCTATAATATCCTGGCTTACATCTTCGAGCAAGTTATATTCGCGTACAAGGTTACGCACTGCCACAAACTGACTTACGGCTGGCTCCATGTTAGCTTAACACGAATTCCATCCTCCACCATTTTCGACGACGTCGTTTTAAGAAAGCATTAAGAAAATGCCGCATATTACGTAACGTCATACAATTACCACGAGCTGTTTGGTCCTAACCGTGTATTAAATGGTCGAATAACGTTGGCCAAACCTTTGAGGCTCGCCTGGTCCGGCACAAAAGGCAGCTCGGCGAATGTTTGTCGAGTCAACCGGGCCACAGAGTGTTCCCGGCGATCTCTCGTCGGACCACGATGAGCCAGCCACCGTGTATTTTCTCTGTCCACGTCCAGTTTCGTTGTCGACGAAGAAATCAGCGAGCTATAGAAGCTTAGCGAGTTTCGCTCCTTATGAACAGAGGAAAATCCTTTTCCCTTCGTGAAAGCGGTCAATTATCATTTTTCTCGGTGGCTGGCGCGCCGAATGGGCTGGATACAGTAATTAACGAAGAAATCGCCTTTTAATTGGACCAGACACGAACTGGAACGGCGATCGGAGCGACAACGTCTTTGTGCACGGAACCGTGCACGATTCGCGTTATTACAATGTATTCGAACGAGGTAGCAGGAGGATGAATCACGATTCCATCTAGTTTACGCGATAAGAATAGAGGCTTCGATCGAGGTTGGCCTATAGGAGCTGGACTCATCTGACTGATAAGATCTTCCATTTAGACGATGTTTGCTCCCCGTTCGGACGAATTCGTGGCATGCACCCGGGAAATGCTGGAGATATCGATTTTACCAGGGGCGTATATACTTCCGAGAAGGGTGCAAGATCTTGCACCGCCTGGTGGCTTTGTCCGTTTTTTATCAGATGTTCCTCGAATGTTTGATTGTAAATTGTAACCGTGTCGAAACTGAAAATACTCCATGGCCTATATACTCTATTGACACTTGGCTCAGCGCATGCATTTAATCACACGTAGCTGGGAAAGGGGTCAAAATTGTTACAACGTGATAGACAGATGTGTACATACGTCTGACGAGGTACTCGACTCGTTAGAGGATAGAAATATTCTATACGAGACCATGGTAAATTCGTAAGTGACGCGAAGTGGGATTAACGGTGTCTCGAAAGTGGACGGTCGGATTTCTTTTCTTGAAAATCACGCCGACGTACGGGCTACGTATTTTAAGCAACCGTCTGCTGAAAATATCCAAGCAGAGATCCTCTAACACATGAAACGCACATGTTTCACGCCCGTGCCTAATAACTATACCGCGAAGATGACAAGGTCTCTGCCCACGTGAATTGCGCCAACGAGCTCTCGATATTCGTTCCATTTCCATTGGTTTAGAACGGAGGCTACCCGCCATCCTCGTTTCTCCTCGTGGAAACATCGTGTTCTTTTAAAAACCCGTATCCATTGAAGCGACCGACCCGACCACCCTTTTCGACTACAAGATCCGATTTAACAAAGTATACACCTTGCAGCGACACTTAAACAGGGGCCAGGCAGATTGGGATCGATTTCATGAAAGCTACGCACAGTTCACGGTGGTTTAGATCCATGGGGGAGTTCGGAAGCGATTTTACGGGGTGGAGACCTCGGTCCGCGTGAAGGGTTTGTTGCAGCACGCGTTGCATTAGCGAAGGGTGTGGACCCTGGATCGGTTATAAAACGTGGGTGGTGGCGGTGACAACGATGGATTGTCCTTTTTTTTTTTCACCGTCCCCTACCCTGTCTCTCTGATCTTTCTCCCCTATACGCTTTTATCTTTCCACGGATGGGGAAGGCCTCAGGGGTGGCTGTCGAAAGTCCTTTATACAGCCTACGCGCTCCTTTCTCCCTGGCTCCTTTCAATTTGCTCCACGCCAAGATCCACGCTAATATTTATACGTTTTGTCTTCTCATCTTCGTGACACACGGAGCTTCTGGTCGGGACCATGTTCTTAATTATGTTAGTCCTCGTTGTTGAAAATTTCACCATTCTCCAGGATTCATTCGGCGATAATTTGCTGATTCTCGAGGGTTTACACGGTATACGAACATTTGCCGATTATTAAATATTCGTCCAATGATGATATCCCGATTCTTAACAATTTATTTAACAACTTCCCGAATCTTAGGACTCTTCTTTCTTAGATATAACTTACCAATTCGCGAGGTCTATCCGGTATTCGAACACGACCATTCGAAGCATAAAACGGGTCACATGCAGATCTCAGGAAACCACGAGATCACTCGAATGGCTATCTTCTCGTTATCCTGGACGATCTAGGAAAAGCTGTTGGTACTGGTGTTAGGGACAGCGTGGAAAGGCAGAGTGAAAAGAGTAGCGTTTCTTTATTCATTCCGGAAATGGTGCGTACACAACGAGCACGGTTTGCAAACGTGATTGTATGGTAATGTTCGAAGTGGATCAGCGAAAAACCGCGCGTTTTCCGTGTCGTAAACGTTTGCAAGATAGAGGAGAAACCCGTATTCCTTCGGATGGAAAGATGTATCATGGAATACGGGGTCTTACGCTTATCAGTCGCGGCACATCGGAGTATACTGCTCTAAATCCAGCATTGGCGGAAGTGCGTGAAGCGTAGCTTCTATTATATACTGATTGGTATACCATAGCGTGGAGGCAATATACGCACGTTAATCGTCTGCACCGGATGTCGGATCCGACGCACGTTGCAAACGAATATCAAGGACAGTATGCGGGGGGTTTGGCCAGCTCTCAATGGACAGCAATTTCGAGGCAAAGATTTTTCAGGCGACACTTCTCCATTCGATTTGTCTATTCGCGTTCTAGACACGTGGACTTCCGTGGACATTGCAAACGTCGCCAGTAAATAAATAATACATAGGGTATGTATATACATAATGGGTACATACCCGTATTACCCGATATGGAAACAATACTCGCGTAACGTCTAAATGCCTCTGGATAAATTTGCACGTTCACACTGCAGGTCTTCACAAGTTTTTATAAATGTCACGGGTAAATAGGTAGTAACTGGAATACGAGTACTATCCGAGTGTCATTGAATAAATTTGTACATCTACACCTTATGTATCCAGGTCTCCGTAAATATCACGGGTAAATAGATGGCGTGTAGAAGATAAGTATTATCCAATTCCACTGAATAAATTTGTACATCGGACATTTTCATCTACGCGATAAAAGTCGATATAAAAGTGGACCAGTGACCCATAAAAGTTTAATATCAACTGGAAAATTGATCCCTTTCGACGTCCACGAGTGCCTTTTGTGTTGCCAGCAGCATTAGTAGTGGAAAATTTTATACCAACGAGAAGACACGAGATATCGTATTTACCATATCATTGTAAACTCTCGTATGTTATACAATAAGACCCTAACAACGCGAGAGATTGCACGTTATATGGATTTCGCGTTGCACGAAATCAAAAGAGTAAAATGCTAAGATTGAATAAATCTTGAATTGAATATTATAGAACTCACGAGTTATAAGAGAACTTATTACACTCGCGCACGGTTACCTTAGCGCTGAATAATTGATTATAAATTAATATCGATGCACAAATGAGACGCACGTGCAGGAAAGTCTGTTCAAAGGTTAGCATTTAATAGCATTCGGCATTATTACAAGTTGCGGTTTCGTTTTGGAAAAATCTGCGTAAAACGACACCGACTGTTCTGTTTCCAGAGCGCGCAAAACAGGCTGTTGATTAAGAACGGCAAGGTGGTGAACGACGATGTGATCACGGACAACGACGTCTACATCGAAGACGGTATCATTAAGTAAGACTCGTTATATTTACATTATGTTGCCTCTTTTAATTCCTACGCGCTCTTAATTACGTCACTGAGTACACAAGAACACGTCGTATTCGCGTGGAAACTCGCGTTTTGCGAGTCGCCATCCGATTGTCCATTGAACGTCCTCAGCTGACGCTGATGATCGTCACGATCGAGAGATATCGTTGCGCGAGTTGAAGGAGGATGGTTTCGCGAGCTGCACGTTTGCCCACAAACAGACATTTGGATTTACGTTTACGAACGATCGACGTTTCATTCAGCATTCTACTCGCGTGTTTACTCGTCACTTTACGCAAGCGAAACGCGATACAACGCCGGTCGTTTTATCAATGAGCAACGTGGTAAGATAACACGCTGATGGTTGGCTACAATTTGTCAAACAAGCGTGACATGCGTTGCTTAATGAACGGTTTGAAGGCGGTAATATCGGGCTTTTGCTTAGATACCCGTGATTATGCACCGTGCAAGTGGCTGCAGGTTGTCGGTCGACCCGCCTCGTTGCTTCCCTTCTTACCTTCAAATTTCTTCACGAGGGAAAATATCGTCAAATTTAGATCCGAGCCATCCGTTTAGAAATGACCGATTTTGGTCTGGCATTGGTGGCCGTTGAGGGTGAAAAACGTTGAAAGCTATCCTTCTTCACTTTCACTATGACCAATGGTACTCATGATCACTCTCGTAATAGCTTTATCTAACCTCTAATCGGAGTTTCTTTCACGGAAAGAAAAGGAATTTTGAACAAACAAATTGAGCAATTGATCGTGACCCGAGCGATTTAATCGTTTATCCCCGTCGTTACGTTCGATTACACTGAAAATGTTCTATTTCCAGGCAAATGGGCCGCAATCTGATAATACCAGGCGGCACGAGGACCATCGACGCCCGTGGAAAGTTCGTGATGCCCGGTGGCATAGATCCGCACACCCATTTCGAATTGGAGATGATGGGCGCCAAGTCGGTCGACGATTTCTACCAGGGCACCAAAGCAGCTGTTGCAGGTGGAACGACGATGATCATCGATTTCGTCATCCCCAACAAGGATGAATCTCTTTTGGAAGCGTACGAGAGGTACCGGGAGTCCGCCGATCAGAAAGTCTGCTGCGATTACTCGCTTCACGTCGCTGTTACATCTTGGAACCCAAAAGTGAGCCCTTGAACAAATAGACAGAGTATACAGGGCAGATCGAGATCATCGTCTCGTGTTCGTCATCGTACTATAAAGGAGCCAGGGAGTCAGAACGATGGATTAACGAGATCTGTCAGTCACGTTCAAACGACTGCATCAAGCGCAGCCAGTATGATACAGTTCACACGCGTTCTCTATTCTATTTAGTCACCCAGAATGAGATAATTACCGTAATACGAGTCCTTCCTGGAAAAGAAAGCCCGTCTGGGGCGACCTCTTTCTTGCGTGTCTTTTAAGTTCATCGGCGACGTTTCATGAAATTAAATTTATGTCTGTATTACTATGAAGCAACGTAATGTCGTCGAGTAGTATTCAGGTTGCAAATAGAATTTACGTAATTCGTTGATAATCGTCGGAAATTGGTAGTAGGACGTGTTACGTTTAACGCTATTTCTCTCTTGATCGTTTCTTTTGTCGCGCACTGATGATCAATCAGACGATTGGAATGGACGAAAAATTGCACTCGAAAATTACGAATAGCTCGACGTTGTTAAAATCGTTGCATCGACGATGCCTAGGTAAATCGTTAGACCTCGAACGAGCATAAAGGTTCGGCCTAGATGTCGACGGTCTAGCGACGAGTCCGCTCGGCTCGTTCCTAAATATGGCGAAACCGATCGCGCGACAAATTGGCAAATCGTACGAATCTGGTAGCTGCAGCTGCCTTACTACGGCGGCTTTGTAACTGTAATCGCGATCGTGAATGGAATACCGAGTGATCGGTGAGGAAATCGCAAGCGAACCGCTTACGGATGCATGTAAATCGTCGTGCTCCTTATTTGCTGGCGCTTGTCGAGCTCCTCATCCGTTCAAAACGATTCTGTTCCGTTCTGACGTTCATGGTCCTCCTGTGTTGCAGGTGAAAGAGGAGATGGCCACTTTGGTGAAGAATCACGGTATTAATAGCTTTAAGATGTTCATGGCCTATCGCGACATGTTTATGCTGAGGGACCCAGAATTAATTGAGACGTTTAAAACATGCAAGGAACTCGGTGCCATTGCCATGGTTCATGCGGAAAATGGCGATATTATTGCGGAGGTAGGGGACATGCCGTGATTTATGATCATCGTTACAGTTATCCTTCAAGTATGCGAGCGATACGCTATGTTGGAACGTTTTAACAACTGTTACCGTGTTCGGCGTTCTATTACCTGGCGAAAATATACTCGATACGCTTACCGTCACGAATCCCGGCAGCAATTTGGGCAACATCGTTCGAAACTGTTTTAGAACACGAGACGATTGCTCGAAGCCGGAGTCACGGGGCCGGAAGGTCACGAAATGTCCCGTCCCGAGGAAGTGGAAGCGGAGGCTGTGAATAGGGCGTGTGTTATAGCTAGTCAGGTAAGGTTGACGAGACTGGAGAGGACTATCTTTTGGGGATATTTTTATGTTTGTTCAGTACGCTTGTTTACCGTCTCAAGCACCGCTACTTTGAGAATCAATGTGTCTTAGTATTTGGAAAGATTGCTTATCGATGAACGTACTACGCTTCTCTTGTGACCTTAGTTTTACTTTGGAATGAATGATATTTTCGATTCAGTGTCGAATGAAAACACGACAATTAATGATCTTCTCTTTACCATGAAAAATTATGAAAGAGTATTAAACATAATCGCAGACTGATCTCGTTGGAAGAAGACGATGCTTGGTTGTTTTGTTTTCGTTTAAAAGATCACAAGGTTTCATTATACGTTTGTAAAAAAAAGTTTCATCTGTTTTTGTGATACGTGACATTCTAAACCATAAATCGATCAAAATTCTGCATGCTTAGGTCAATTGTCCACTGTATATAGTGCATGTGATGAGTCGTAGCGCCGCAGAAGCGGTGGATGCTGCGCGTAAGCGTGATGCTTGCGTCTTCGGCGAGACCTTGGCAGCCGCAATTGGCACAGATGGTACCAACTACGCACACAAATGCTGGAAACACGCTGCAGCGCATGTTTTGAGCCCACCTCTAAGACCAGACCCAGACACACCGTTTGCGTTGCTGCAAATGTTGGCCAAGTGAGTCGAAGCCACCATGAATCCTGAATGGGGTGACTTTGACATCCAGAGCATAGCGTACTCATAATTGCAATTATTATAAGATATTATCACTTTATGTAGTTCTTTACACGTTTCATTTCATGAGTGGATGGAGAAAGTAGAACACTGGGAGAGATTTTGTTGACAAGCGCACTCTTAGTCCTGAAAAATGTTTCGCTGACCGAAAAATGATTAGATACAGCACTTGATAGTACAATGATAGTTACTTAGTTTAACTAGACGATTTTCACTGTTGCAATGAGTGTCATAAACGATTCACAGAACATGGCAAATAAGTATGAACCGGTTCTCGAGACAACAGGCTATAAGATACCGAAGAAATTACTCTAAGCCTGTAGAACAAGGTAATTTAAGTGATAAGACCGGAGGGCATCATAGAGGCTCCCTCAACTCGTAGAACTCAGTACGCTAGAGTAGACTCTAAGTCTCAAGGTATCCCAGATTAACGGTAGGTGCACGGACTTTCTATAGTCTTAAGAAGTCCTACAGATCATTAGGAGTTCCAGAATTTGTATGCAATTCTTTGCACTTACCATCGCAGGTACCGAGTTCCGCGAGTTCAGGGTGATCTTTCACGAGACCTACGGATTCAGCCCTCTTGAAGCGTGGTGATCTCTATAAAGCCTCGCAAGTCTATACAAATACACGAAGAAATATTAGAAATATATTTCATGTATCGTGTCTTCTATATCCAAATTATTGGAAATTATTTGGTTGTAACAGTGTAAATACGTAAAAAGGTAAAAATAGGTATGATAGTATAATTACAGCTCTTCGATGTTGCATGCACCGGAAATTATATTTAGATGTACCGTCGAAATTCTCGTGCATGCAGACTTATCGTAACTGCAGTTCGGTATTACTTTTCCTTTGCCCTATTTCTTTGTTAATCTCAAATCACTGTTGTACAGCTAGCACGATTCTCTTCTTCAACGTATAAATATAGTCTAGTTGGAACCCGTAGTTGCCTCTAAATTGTAGTTAGACATGGTATTGTGAGCACGGCTGAAAATAATTTTCTACTTTAAAAGATCCAAGGTAATTCGAACGACATAAAACTTCCCATAGCTATCAGATACGCTGGCTATTTTCCTTCCTTTTTCGGCTGTGATCACAATTTAACTAACGAAATCAATGTCAGGATAAACGAGACAAGATAATATCGCGTTTAGGTGAATTGCCCACTGTACGTAACGGCATTGTCGAGCGAGTCCGCTGCTCACGTTGTATCCTCGAAAAGGGCGGATGGTGTCGTCCTGTTTGGAGAGACTCTCGCAAGTACCGTGGGTATCGATGGTAGCGAACAATACGGGAAAGATATAGAAAAAGCCAGACGTTACATCACTAGTCCACCATTGAGACCCGATTCCATGACACCCGTCTATCTAATCGAACAGCTAGCAGTGTAAGTAATCCGAACTCTAAAATGCTTTACGTTAATTGCGATGACGAACGTCGAAGTTTATGTAAGAAATCTCAGAAACACTTGACAGAAACCTTTCACGCTTACTATACCATCACGATCTTCCTGGAAGTATCGATGTTTCATCCCTTTTCTGGTTGTTGATTTTTGAGATTTCGAGTGTTTGTAATAACGTAATCGATAAATCACGTGATAATAGGAGAAGATTAATGAAGTAGAGGGCAGCAAAGTGGAGATCCATCTAACGCTTCCCTGGTGTCTATCCACTTTTAAGTGCCTCAAGTATCTTCCGGTTCGAGCTGATAACTAGCTATTTGTATATGGAAAACCTAATGCAAGAAAGTCGTCGATGGACAAGTACGAGATGAAACGATTTTCACACTGTTTCGTTACTCGTATGCGTCTGCAAGTCGCACGAGCATTCAAATGACAGCGATAAATTACAGCAACAAATTGGCACACACGATATAAGGCTAACTGAACGTAATTTTAATAGACACCGCGTGGGAAGTCACTTTTATCTCGCTGCTGGTATTAAACTTAATTAAATGGGCAGAGGAAAACTCGTTAAAAGATCATTCTACGGTCAGCATTCAATTTTACCCATTTGTTCGACAAATCGATTATGCCGTAACATTGTAACATACGTTACATGTTCACGTGTTCTCATGTTACCCAATTATTATAGCTTGTCAGATGTCAAGGTAACCTTCCGTTTATTCCAAACTCTTGCTTCTATAATGTTCCCTTATTTTAATTCTGTAAGCCATTTAATCGAACCACGTTGTATTCCGTCAGTGATTGCCTCCAAGTCACCGCTAGCGACAACTGCACCTTCAGCGCTGAACAGAAGGCTCTGGGTAAGGATGATTTCTCGAAGATACCCAACGGTGTGAACGGCGTTGAGGATAGGATGTCTGTCGTCTGGGAAAAGGGAGTGCACGCCGGAATAATGGATCCTACGAGGTTCGTCGCTGTGACCAGCGCCAATGCCGCGAGGATCTTCAACCTGTATCCGCGAAAGGGAGTGATAGCGGTCGGCTCAGACGCCGATATAGTTGTCTGGGACCCCAACAGGAAGCGTACGATTTCCGCTGAGACACACGTTCAGGCCGTTGACTTTAACATCTTCGAAGTAAGGGCTAGTCGATATTAAGCTTTAATAAAGTCTTTGTTGTCGCAATATCGAGAGCACGCTGTGGGATTTATTTTCCATTTATCTTGCCAACCTACGTGTCGCAGGAAGTTTAATCAGGCCAGCATCAACGTGAATAATAAAGAAAGTATGATTCACCCTCGTAGTGCGTTCTTTGATCGTTCTTAACGTATTTTCTTTTCGTATTACAAGTTTCTAGAACATATATTAAATTCGAATTTGATTTGTTTCAGGGCATGGAAGTTCACGGTGTACCGGAGTACGTTATAGTGGAGGGCCGTGTCTGCGTGGACGAGTGTGAACTGAAGGTTGTCCATGGCTTTGGAAAGTTCGTCGAGACCCCGAGTCATGCAGAGTATGTGTACAGTATGATCGAAGAAGGAGAAAAGGTGAGTTCGGTCTTTTGCGCCTAACCGAAGGGTAAACTTGACAATACTTTTACATCAATTTATATATCGGTTCGAATCACTATCTCGGGGTATTGTTCGTTCAGAGACCACGTGGTGTAGCGCGAACTGAAGCTGAGGCGAAGAAGTACGCCGAAGAGGACGCCGCTATCGCTAAGGCCAAAGAGGAAGCAAGAGCGGCAGCCGCGGCGCTTGGGAAGAGTCATCAAACGAACGGCACTTACGAAAGTCCGAAACCGAAAATGACAATGCCTGATTGCGTGCCAACACTGCCAGATTCTGCTGTGGTTACACCATCGTCGAAGGGTCCACGATTGGAGGGACAGAGAAATTTACAGGACTCCACTTTCTCTATCAGCGGTAAGTAATAGAAAAGTAATTGGTTTCTTTCAAGATAGAACCGGAATTGGAAGAGTTGTGTGTTCACAGAGGATGTCGAGGAAGCAAGAAGAGCTTGCATCCGCGTGAACAATCCACCTGGTGGTCGCAGTGCGGGAGGTTTTTGGTAATTTATGAAAGACAGAATCAAGGTCTGCTTTGCATATAGGGATTTTTTCTTACAGAGAAAATAGGAACGAAATCCTTCTTCTTTCATCACCTTTCTTTCATTCGCGTATACAAAATCACAGCTGCATTTTCCTTCTCGTTTTTACGTGATAGTTCTCTATCAGTCCGCTTCCAGGTTCGCTATTCACTCAACCATTAACGATAAGTTTCGTTTTCAATTTATATGTTCCCATCGATTAAGGTCTGTTCCATCAAAGGAGGATTCGGATGCCACCGGTCAGTAGAGTGTACGTTCGTATTTTCATGTATCACACTATTTTTCGCTTCATTATCGCTTCATTGCCCGCTCTCTGTGTACCGTACGCTTCATTCTTTGACCTTGGATCGTTCACGCGTTTTGATGGTTCGCACTTAATTCGCATCATCGACAAAACGTTGCTCTTCGTGCAATAGATATATCTGTTGAGTTTCTAGTCGATCAAAGGTTTATTTTACCGTTCCTCGTGGATACCTTTATCGAGCGTTGCAACTCACCTCTTCTGTTTTGTATAATATGTTATTTTACTATGTAGTATACGGAATAACGGAATTACGTACCGGTTTTAACACGGATATCATGTGTACGCTTTGTATATTTGTATAAGTTTCACTAAAACTCGTAAGATTAAAGTGAGAAATGGTGTTTTGTTTTTTTGCTAATTTCGAAAGAAAATTCATATTTTGTAAATTTGTAAAAAAAAAAAAAAGAAAGAGAAAGGTTAAT